CTTCAAAATCATCCATACCAGCATTATCATGATTATTACCTTCTGTAATTGGCTCCGTCAAGTCATCCCATGCATTTCCAAGATTGGCCAGCATGTTGTGAAGGATAGCACAACATTTGATCCAATCGAGTATATGATTCATGTGTTCCTTTTTGTCTAATGCAAGCCAAAGTCCTTGAAGCGAGGCCCAGCGACCCTTCAAGATTCCAATACAGTGTTCATTACGAACACGGGCTTTTGCCACGCACCAATTAAATTCGTGATTCCTATCAATCTGAGCAGCTGGTCCTTTGTAAGAAGGAACCACAGTTTCGGATGCAACATATGCTGAATCAGCAACAAGATACTCACCTACGATTACGAAGAAATTCATCAGCCCAAGATAAAGACAAAAAGAATACACAAAAGAAGAAGACTGTGCACACCCGGTGAGAAATACTTGTCTGGGTTTCCTGCCAAGTCGCTCTTTCCATAGACCGTACTATCGCAGCAAGAGCCAGGCCAGCCGCCATAAAGATAAGTGATGCGCCGATCGCAATCACAAATTACTTGCACATTGATCGAATAATCATGTTTTCTATCAAAGAAAACTTCACCATCTTGTCCAGGCCTTTGATACAAAGGGATCGTGGTTCCATCCACAAATCCAACACATCCAGGAAAGCCATCTTGCTTTAAAACTGATGAGATTCCCTTTCGTCGATCAGCTGATGGCCAAGCCAGATAATGGCCACCTCTATCGATTATGGCCTTTATGACTCAGCGGGTGCACTTGATGACCTGACCACAGCTAACCTTGTAGTTACGTGAGAACCGGCCTACTGACGCTCCATTTCTGTTACTGCCTAATCGTTCGAGAGTTATAGCAAGCTGTTGTTCGAGTGAAGTGTGGGTTTATTGCTGGTTGAAATGAAGCTGGGATGGTCCTTAATCAAGTCCCTCAGTGCTTCGAATCCTTAAGGAGTGGTCCGCATTGCTTGTTGAAAGTCTTTGCGGCATTCACGTAGCATATCATTTAAGTTGAATGGAGAGGCGTGAGGTGCTTTGAATCTGGGAACAAGGTATCGAGTTTCGCTGACCCAAGTAAGTAGCTCGGCAAGTTCATTCTCTTGATTGAAATTCTGATCATAGAGCTCGGCCTCTTCTGGATCGTCCGGATATAAGAGCTGGCCATCGGTAGGAAAGTCTGGCTCTTTGTCATCATACACCGCAAAGTCGTTCATCGAGTCTAGATGTTCCCAGACACAGGCAAGGGTGAGATCTCGAATCATCTGAGCCCGTTGGGAAAGACGCATGTTGGAATTCGGATTGATTGAAAAGAAACCAGGCGAATTGGTGGTTTGAGTCTGATCACACAAGCATCGATTGGTCAGTATTTTGAGTATCAACCATCAAAGAGAGGAAAAATTACTTACATAAATCAGCTCTTTCAGTATGTTCTCCTTCAAACGGTGATCTGAAGTGGGACAAATGCCCCTGGCATTCGTAGCGTGAAGCCAACAATGCGTGGGACACTCAACACCAACAGCAGGTCAAACGTTGAATCGGGTGTTTCTGAGGGAAAGGTCAAACAGTATCGTATCGAAATGAAGCGTAGGATGTTCGACCGTCGAATCGGGTGTTTCGGAGGGACAAGTCGAACAGTATTGTATCGAAATGAGGGGTAGGGAAGGTGAGAGGTGATCGATTTGTGGAGATGGTTCGGAGCCAGGCAAGGAGTGTTGAATTTGGGCCTGTGGTACCAAGCCCTGTACAAGTAGTAGCATAGTCTTGTAGCGGGGTTAGGTATCACATTTCAATTTCGACTCTTCTAGAAACACCTTTAAAAAATGTATTTCATCGATCTTCAACACATTTTATTCCATTTTTTCTGATTTCAACCTTTTGAAAACTGTATCTTTGCTTCAAAGGTTGTTTTTTATAGACCAACCTGACTTATATTTAGGTACTTTTTGTAGTGAACATATAGAAATGAGAAAAACACATAAGCACGAAATAGAGGTTGGATTCCACAATGATGATAATCTACCTGTAGTGAACATATAGAAATGAGAAAAACACATAAGCACAAAATAGAGGTTGGATTCCACAATGATGATGTGGAATCTCGAGGCGGCGAGAAAGGTTTTTGTGACTGCTGCACGTGATGTCTGTGCCGCAGTCGTGCCCAGGATCATGTGACTACAACACCCCCCCACGACAAGTCACAGACATCCATCTAAAAGAAAACAAAGTAGAAGAAAATAAAGAAATAAGAGAACATAAAGATTTTGAAATAAGACACTCGACAACAGTCTAATATGAAAGAATGTGACCCCTAAAATGATCTCAAATTGAAAACAAAAAAACATAAAAAACAAAGAAATATAAAAACATAAACAGAAATATATGGGCCATTGTTATCTGGAATTCGTTCCCCCGAGACAGAGACTACGTTGGCCAGTAAAACTGGAATAGTCAACCCCCGTCTACAGAATTGGTTCCACCAGAAACAAGAATGATAACATTATGCGAGACCGTCTGGAATTCGTTCCCCCGAGACAGAGACTACGTTGGCCAGTAAAGTCTGGAATAGTCAACCCCTGTCTACGGAATTGGTTCCACCAGATCAGTTCTAACATAAGTTCTTTCAATCGAGCAGTAAGTCAACTATGATGATTTTGTTAACGTGTTGCATTTGATGATATTGCATCCCCATGAGGCGTAATCCTGAGATTAGTGATGCCATGTTCATGTAAGTTGGGGCCTAACGGTTTTGTTAGTATATCTGCTCGTTGAGATTTCGTGTCGATCCAGTGTAAGAAGACTCGGCCTTTATAAACTTGCTCATTGATATAGTAGTACTCTCTATCAGTGTGTCGAGTTTGTTTATTAGATGAGTTATCGCTGGCTACATGTATTGCTGATGTATTATCGCAATGCATGTTTACAGTGTTGCCTTTGCCGGTAATGTCTTCAATCAAGTTTCTTAACCAGATCGCATCTCTACATGCTGTTCCCATAGCCATGTACTCAGCGTGACAAGTGGAAGATGCTACACAGGATTGATGTTTCGATGTCCATGATATCGGACAGTTCAGGAAATAAGTGATGTATCCGTGAGTTGATCTTGCACCTTCACCTCCCCAGTTCGCGTCGACGTACGTATGAAGTGGAGTGTTGACTTTTGTTTTGATTGGTTTAATCATCAATTCTCTAACTCCAGAGGTATTCAAATATCGTATTAGATGTTCGACTGCATTCCAGTGTTGTTTTCTAGGGTCAGCAGAGAACCACGCTAAGTAGTTCACAGTGTACGTTATATCTGGTCTTGTAGCTACTGATAAGTAATTGAGGCTGCCGATAGCTGATAGATATTTCTCAGAGTTGTATTTTTCTTCGTTTTCTGTTGGCGACGTAGGGATCTTCTGGCTATTCATAGGTGTTTTTGCCATTCGTTCATCAGGAAGAAATGATTGAATGATCTTCTTGGTGAGTCCCGGTTGTGATAAAGTAAAACTCCCATCTGCGTGTCTCATTACGTTAACTCCTACTATTTGATCCAGATTTCTCTCCCATTTGATAAGTAATTTTTCTTTAAGGGCTGCATGAATTTCATCTAGCAATTTCTCAGAGCTTGCGGTAACACCTCCGTCGTCGCTGTGTAACCATATGATGCAAGTTTCTTCATTACAATGATAAATGTAAAATGATTGATCGTATTGGCTGCTCTTAAATCCTAATGATGTGAGTATTGCGTCTATATGCTTCCACCAGCATCGGGCTCCTTGTTTTGTTCCATATAATGCTTTGATTGCTTCTAACACCTTATTCTTCTTTTTTGCTTCACACATATAACCCGTTGGAATTGAAAAATACACTAATGAGTCAATTGCGCTATGAAGATATGCTGAAGTAATGTCGAATGAGTGA